TTTTTTTTTTTTTTTTTTTTTTTTTTTTTTTTTTTTTGAGGTGGGGGGATAGATAGATGGAAGAGAGTGAATGAGCATTCTTTTCAAGAATAGTAATAGTAGCTACACAAAGTGGAGGCAGCATGGTTCACCAATTCACAGCCAGAGGAAAGACTAGGAGCAGAACAAAGACACTGGACAGAAGAATGGAAGACTCTTCTGCGGCTGACTGGCTGAAGGAAACCTACTTAGTCTGGACTCATGGCAACCTAGGATACAAAAATCCCATAAACAACAGGGCATTTGTGCATGTAACTCCCTGTACACTGCTCTGAAAATTCATTTTGCAGAGTTTTTTCTCCCTCTCAACCCTTACACATGCACACACTGCACTGCGTGTTAGTAGCTTTCATATCTATTTAAATGCTACAGCCAAGATACACTGTGCACATTCACCAGCTCTGCTTTTCTGAAAAAGAGGCTGAGAAATTGGCATCCAGTCCAAAAGGGACCATATTAGAAAATATTTAAAGAGGGATTGAAAGGCCATGCACCAAAATGCCAAAAACCCAATGAAACCAAACCTGTTAAAGAATGTGGTTCTGTGTGGTGCAACAAGATAGAAAAATAAACATGAATAAACTTTGACTCTCTTTGGTTTAAAACTTCGGGCCTTATTTGACCTATACTGTGTATTTTTAAACTAAAGCTCTTCTTTTTAGAACAGTTCTGAATTAAACCTAAAAGAAAGAGCAGGTGAAAAAAAAAAGCTGATACTAATACCTTTCGGGTTAGGCATTTTGGCCATTTTAGTCCTGGCACTTTTCCATCAAATTCCAAAACAAACAAACAAACAAACAAACAAACAAATAAATCTATGGAAATGGAATTTGGAAGTCCCCGTTGTCTGAATTAACTTGATACAACAAAAAATAGAACTGCTTAACAAACCTTGACTTTTATGAATGCACAAACTTCAGGATTTGCTGCTCTGGGGCTATTTATGGAAAACTACTTTCAGATTTGCATACTAGAGTTCATACTCACTTTACAGCCAAAAGGAAAGTGGAGCAAGTTGAAAGTACAAAACTAATTTCTTTTTTAAAGTTTTATAACATGTATTAAGTTAAAACAAATCACAACAGGGTTTTAGGCTGCATATTCATTACCAGAAACCTTGCCTGAGTGGGGAAACAGTTTTTAAGCACGCCAGTAAAGATACTCAAGGCACTATACTCACCAGTATGAATCTTCTCATGCCTCTGTAGCAGGTACTTCTGTATGAAACGCATGTCGCACTGACTGCACTGAAATGGTTTTTCACCTTGAACAATATAATTCCACATCCATAAGTTAATAACTACACACTGTTGTTTCTGATAACTACTTTTGAGGAATATTAAAATGTCTATTAAAAAGACCAGCATCTGAGCGAATTCCAAAAATACTCTAATACCAAAAAAAACCATTAGCCTTACTAAGTATAGGAACTGCGGAGTTCTTTCCATGATCCTAAGAGTCACATTAAATCTAGCACGGAAGAGTGATCTGGAATAGCTGTAATTTCCTCATGAACAAGATCAATCACGATGCTGGCATAAGACTGCATTCAGGATACTGGCAAGCTATTATAATGGTAAGTACCTTTTTCACTTCTCCAAACCAGAGAGATACCTCATCAGGCAAATAAGCAGCCGGAGCACATTTTACAAAGGGGTCAATTTTGGCACTTAGGCTACAAGTCAACCCATTACTTTCTGATAAAGAAAGAAAAGAAACCTTGTAAACAGTTAGGTCTTCAGTTTATTAAACATATGTTGATTTTTTTTTTTTCTTTTTCTGGTATTCTTTTGACACTTTGGTGCATGGAATCTCTAAGCTTAGATGCCAATTTAGCTACACTTTTAAAACTGAAATTCGCATAGAGCTGAAAACATTTTTAACATAAGTAAACAACTCTTCATATAGTAGAAAAAAAACAAATTTGAAGTCAAGCAGTACCTGTATGAATGAAGACATGTCTCTGTAAATGGTAGTTGGTTCTAAAGGCAGCATTGCAATGCTCACAAACATGAGATTTGTGGGTTTTCAGACCAAGTGATCCATCCTCATTTATTGTAAGGATCTATTTTAAAAAGAGTAAAATTTGTTCTCACACTACCCTCTAAAGGTGTCTTATTAACTACAAAAAAAAAAACACATTAATTTTTGCGATGCAGAGAATTTAAATATTTCAGGTAAAACAATGCTAATTTCTACAAAGCTATGCGTTAAGCTTCTAGTACACATTTCCAATTGCAGTCCAATCCAACCTGTGTCTCGTTGTGTATTAAGTGATATTTCAACAGGACAGAGGCAAAAGCAGCTCATGGAAAATCAGCTTAAAGCTTCCCTAGACACAGCTGAGTCACTTTATACGCTACTGTTTACTTTGTCCGTCTGTTGGAAAGGATGCAAAGTAACCAAATCACCTCTGGGCACTAAACCATGGATAATCATATTTTAAAGCAAAAGTGAAAAGTTATATTCTTTTTTCAAATCACAACTCTAAATATTTGCTAAAAGGCATTAAAACTTAACCAGAATAGTCATATAAATTATCTACATCTACATAATACCAATAGAGGCAAAATTATATTTTAAAAAGCAAAGCCCCAAAGCCAAACAACCAAGAAAATAGTATTATTATTCTCCCCTTTCAGGTTTTTCACTCAATAAAGTATTGCTCACTCAATATACATATTAAAGCATCTCCTTGATGAATTCAACTTGCCACACTTAATTGCTTTGCTGTCAAACAAAGCCAATATTTTCATATAAAGTAAAAAAAAAATATACTTAAAAAATTGCACTATATCTATCTATTCAATAAAGCTAATCACAGGTTTTCTCTAATTTGTCAGAAAGGAAAAAAAAACCAACCCACCCCAAACCAAAACCCAGACTCTACTATCTCTGGCAAGAGAATAAGAAAACCAGTAAACAAATTACATTTCTAAAAGTCTTACTTAACTGGAAACAGAACTATAAGGAAAAGCTTAAGTAACTTAAATAAAACAGTTTAGTCCCTTGTTATTAGCAAAAACTGAAAGTCTGCTGGGGAAACACATCTTGCAATTTGATTAACTACGACATTTTAGGTTTTATGATAATGACAGTGATGAGAAAGAGAGAGTCAATAACTGAAACAGTAGCTCTGCAAATAGTAGCAAATACTGTAGGATCTACTTAATTTTAAATTCTGCTGCATCAAAACTCAGCGAGAGTGAAAGTCTCGGGCTAACAAATTCTTGTGCATTCACTCTGAAGGACAAGTACATTCATACGTTTGTAAGATTGGTATGTTACAGCTCCAGTCACAGATAGAGACAGTTGTAACAGCTCTGTTCTGTAACAACATACAGCTGATGAAACAGATTGGGTCTTTAAAACAAATTTAAATACATGTTATGAAATGCTTTTCATGTATTATGTTGGAATTTAAAAATAATTGTGCAGAAAATAACACTTAATGTCACAGTTACCCTAAACCTGGGCTCTTCTACTGCATCTATTCATTGTACCACATCTTAAATGAAGAAAGTTAACTTACTCAATGCAGCTTCCCTAATAAAAGCAACAAAAAAGCTCATGTGTGTGTGTGTGTGCGTGCGTGTGCGTACGTGTGTGCACGTGTGTGTGTGTGTGTGTGTGTGTGTGTGCGTGGAAGAGGAAAAAGGAGACAAGATTCATAGTAACTAATGACTTTTTATTTATCTGATTACTACGTTAATATAAGATAGAATTTTAAATGCTTCACTGTGTTAACTGACTTCCATTTGTCAAAGTTCCAGCTGCTGTTTGGAGGGAAAATCAACCCCATTACTCTGGAAATACTAAACTTAAACTGCAGTAGGCTCTCACCTATGTCGGTCCTCCAGCTTTTTTCTGCCTTTCTACTCTGACATGTCTGAAAGAGGGGAAGAGAGACTGAAAAACAACCTGCTTAACGATTCTCCTGATCATTGTTCAATCTTTTGTCATCTCAAAAGACTAAACCTGGCAGTTTGGGAGATAAAAAGGAAGCATGCAAGTACACGTCTGTAGAAAGAGGGACACACGCCTCTCCTACCTTGCCATGTTTCCATGGAAGTGATCTGTGGATGTACTCAACATAGATCTCCTTCTTCTATCAAAGGGAGAAGTGAGAAGAAAATGCACAGGATTTGGAACTTGCTTCCACACCCAATCTGAAGCAATTTCTCAACTTTCCAAGAATACTACAGGTGCAACCTTATTTGACAGTGCTTTGGGGAGGACTGTAGGGTCCTGCTCCAGGGCAACAAAAAGGTTTGGGAGATTTTCCTAGTGTTACAGTGAGTTTTCCTTCAATATACAATCAATTTGGGTTGATTTCTGAGTAGGCTTATTTTAATGCTGCTGTGTGATAACACATAACTGATTTCTGTCTATCAGAGCAGCCTGTATATGTTCTATTTTAAGTCTGAAGGTTAACACTGATTTGGGGAATTACTAGAAGATACAACACTGCTACCTCATGGGGTGAAATGATTCTGATTTTATCTGAAGTGCTTCTCAATAGAAGAAAATTGTTTTCAGACATACAGGGATACATACTCTTTATGAATGGATCTACAAAACAAATTTTGAAGTAACAAACCAGCAGCTATGGTAAGAATCTCTTGATATAAATAAATACATATATGAAGATGATTATGACCACAGGAATTTTCCCTACCAGTAAATTATTTTATATATATATTAGTAAACTTTTTAGAATTTTCAAAAGTACCATTTTAGATTTCTTTTTAAAAACTTTTCACAACTATGCATGAAGCATATAAAATTATCAGGCTCACAGAAAAGCACAACTATTATTAGATAGATACAGAGTAATGATTTATAAGTTGTCTACAAAGCTACTGACTCTTAATTTAAAAAAAAAATATTTGGAGAGAGAACTGCCTGGAGAGACAGATGTTAAAATATGTCAAGAGTTCATGTTGCTAAAAAGAGTTCAAAGAAAAACACTGTTATATCAGTTTTGTTTTGGGTCTCTGGTGAACTTCAGAACTGCATCTTTACTGAGCAAACAAACAATTTCCAGCCTAACTACTTCAAATGCTAATGAAATTAGTCATAGTCAACCAAATCTTCAGGTCCTTTTAATCTTGGTTTTGCCAAATCAATGTCTTACTTTTGCTGGTGAACGCTGTTTTCTTTTCTTCTTTTTCTGCAAATCTACTGGCTCTCGTATTTGTTTTTTGTCTCGTTTCTGTTGTTCAGATGCATCAGTAAAGGTAATTTCTTGCTTTACACTGATCTGTTAAGATACCAAGTGCCAGTTTCAGGTAAGGTTCTCACTACAGAAAAGCAATTTTTCAATTTTAGAAGATGACAAACTGCTGAAACAGAAAACCTTTTTCTAAGGGAATTATCTTCTGGCTTCATTCTTTCAGAAATTTAAGTGAAAGGAATAATATGTATCTTAAATAAAAAGGGCACAGTTAATTTCCTCAACGACATTTTGAAGTATCCTTTCATTCATCTCCCAAGGTCTTTTTTCCTGACCTTTGGTGATTTTGAGATCAGTTCTTAGGTTAAAATCACTTCCATCTGTAAAACCATTCAGTTTTTCATACCTATTTTACTTTAGTCCACGCTGTTGTCAATGCAAGGTTTAATGGAATAGTTTATTATATATTTAAGACAGAAGTATTTTTTCAGAAAAAAAAAAAAAAGACCAGTTCAAATGAAGTTTTTGGAAAAAAAAGAAAATCTTCCTCTAATGTGAACCTTAATAAAGACCATGATACTCTTACATTTTTCTAACACCTGAACCACCTGATCTGCAGCTAACAGAGTAGTGTTTTGACAGTGCTACCTTTCTGAAGGTTATTCTTCGTGTGTAAGGCTATCTACATTTATAGTCCTGGTAACTGTCCTTTATGTTTGAAGGGTAACAGTGATGATGTGCTGCATTACAGGCAGATGCTCTGTTTTCAAAAGGAAGTCATCTACATGCTCTCTGGGAAAGCCAAGGTATGCCTTCTATGAGATATCGTGGAGGGGCATATTTATGGTCATGTATGAAGTGTCACAGTCCAACCTGCAGTGTGAATGCAATTGCTAAGCGTCCACATACCTTAAAAACATACAAGATGCTTCCTAAAGCAAAAGCAACTAAACAGTACTATAAACAGCATAAACATATATACCTTTTAATAACACTATTTATTCTGGTTTGTAGTTACCCTTGAACATTGAATATACTTAAAGAAGCACATTTTAATGCATTAGTTCCATGGTAACAGCCTGCTTATAAAATATTTATAAAACAGATACTTAAAGATTATACTTAATTGGCAAAATTTATCCACAGCCAGAGGCAAGCGACATTTTCAGAAATAGCACCCGTTCATAAATATTTTGATAATCATAATCCAAACCAGCAATTAATAGATTCTTGCCAGAGTAGGATTAGACTACCAGATCAAGCTTCCTAGTAATTTCTCCAATATTTCACAAAGAAATTGCTTACAGGGACATTAACAGCATACTGCAGCCCTTGAGGAAGTCTATCTTGCGCATCCATTTCATCATCATTTTTTACCGTCTCCTCATGGACCATGAGTTCATCATGTGAAATCATCTCTTGCTGTCGAAGTTCACTTTCCTGTAACACTTCATCTGTTGCAAGAATTTCTTGGTGCGGCATAGTCCGATCTTGAAGCACTGCCTCTTGCCGTTCTCTCGATACTCCAGACTGGTCAGATACTGCACCCATCCCTACCATAGCCCTGGATGACTGCATTTGGTCTATGCCACCACATTTAAGAAATAATCCTCCCAGCTTGTCTTCAATGTTCATTCTTAAGTGCAATTACCTACAAAGAAAGTTTTAATAGTAAACAACTACAATTGGTGCACTTGCGTAAATTTTTTTACTTAAAAACATTTTATAAGAGCTCAAGTCAGCACTAAACATAAACACATGCACTCCTAAAATTGATACTGAATAAGAGCCAAACGTTGGTTATTTTGGTGTAACGTGGAAAAATCCTCCTTTCACACACATCTATGTGTACCCAATTGAACGCTTTCAAATAAAAGGTTTCAAACCAAAGTGCCCTCTGACTACTGGCAAAGTTCTGGTAATTAAACAATAGCTAATTCCTCCTTCTCATCCCTTAGAAAACTTTTTTTTTTTTCCTGTGTGCCCTTTTTACTCTATTCCCTTTTTCCATCTTGACTGTCTTTTACAAATGCCTCTTTCATTTTGGTTCTGTTCTCCCTATTTCCTTGACCCTTATGTGCCCTTTCACTGCTGCTACCCCAGGGCATATTGTAGCTGCTGGAACATCTTAATATCCACAAGTGAGAGAAAATTGGGCTGCATCAAAAGCAGAGTGGCCAGCAGGTTCAGGAAGGGGATACTCCACTCTCGAGACCCCATCTGGAATCCTCCATCCAGCTCTGGGGCCACAGAGAAGAAGGATGTGAAACTGCTGGAGTGAGTCCAGAGTGGACCATAGAGATGCTCAGAGGGCTGGAGCACCTCTGCTATGCTGACAGGCTCAGAGAGCTGGGGTTGTTCAGCCTGGAGAAGAGAAGGCTCTGGAGAGACCTTATTGCAGCCTTTCAATACTTAAAAGGGGGTTTATAAGATGGGGACAAATCTTTAAGCAGGGCCTGTTGCAATAAAACAACAGGTAACAGTTTTAAATGAAGAGATGGTCAACTTAGACTAGATATAAGGAAGAATATTTTTGCAATGAGGGTGCTGAAACACTGGCAGCAGTTGCACAGAGAGGTGATGGATGCCCCATCCAGAGAAACATTCAAGGGCCAGGTTGGATGGGGCTGAGCAACCTGATCTAGTTGAAGATGTCCCTGCTCATTGCAGGGGGTTGAACCAGGTGGTCTTTAAAAGTCCCTTCCAGCCCAAACCATTCTCTGATTCTATGAAAATGCAATTTTCTGGTTAAAGGTACATATCAAATAAAGACTACAGAGAGATCAGAACTGTTTGTAAAAAGGTGCTCTCTTTCACTCCCACTAAGCTGAAGCATTAGTCAGGAAATATAAATTCCAATCATGAAAAGCAATACCATTAAATTGACTTATGTTACACAGACAGATATAAAATCATAATATTCCAACAAGTGTCATGATGTTATTAATTGGTTTTTAACATAGAGTGGCAGGCTCTTGTGAAGCTGGAATTGGCAGTATCTTCTCATTCTACTAGTTATTCTATGTGCAAGATAGTTCTATAACCCTTCTCCTTGGCATACTGGATGTCCAGCCACAGCAGTCAGGCTCTTTCACCCAACTCCCCAGGCCCATAACTCCTACCATTCCATAGTGCCCTGGCCTGCTCCTTCAGCCACACGCACCAACAGACAGACAGAGAAGACATCATTCCTCCACTCCTCCATCTTCCCACAGCTGGAGGGCAAAGGCTACACATACAAAGGCTACAGCAGACACAGGACTGGGAGCAGAAGCACAGTGGAGCTGGACAACACACAACAGGCCCGGCCAAAGCACCAGGCAGGGATCTTGGGGAGTATTATGACAGAGTCAGCACTTTTGATTTTGATGCATTCAGAATTATGACACAGATGTGGTGTTGGTATATTGCTGCTCATCAGCTTCAAAATCCATCTCCCTTGAAGTACACCAAAGAGAAAGCCTCCATCTCCATTCAAGTCTTAAGTCAGAGGCTGTGCTGCTTTCCCTGCAGCTCCCAATGACTACTCATAACCAAAGAAATCAGATCTCTCTGCCTAAAACCACCAGGGCCATCACCCTGTAGAACTGCACCACTACAGCCCCCTGTCAACATGCAAAAAGACTCACTCAAACAAATGTACATCAAATCTATAAATTTCCATTTTCAGTTTAATCCATTTGATTCCCTTCTAAATTATTATCTTCACCAGAAAAATATTTTGAAAATTCTCAATGTATCTTACACATTTGTGAAGACTTGATACCAAAGTACACTGAGTTTACAAAATAGACTGTGGTTTCTCTTTAGATGAGATCCTACAGAACACGGTAGGAATGGAAGCCACCACCAGAAACAGCTGAAAAATCTTACATCTCTTTTCAAATATTTTTGTACTTTATTTTCAAATATTAGTACTGATTCTTAACCTTCTGAAAGTAAAACTAACTCAATTTCTTAAACTAAGAAAAAAAACCAACTCACCACACACTCCAACAAAGTAAAAAGCCCATTAGCACCATCTGATAGCAACTCACATCTTATAACTCGAAAGTGAAAGAACATTTGTCTCTATTCTTTATAGCGAAAGGTTCTAAACTTCTGAATAAATCAAAGAAAGGCTGACAGACAGGACGGTCTGACTTCTACGAGTTTCAAATAGTTAAGACGCTCACCAAAGAAAGAAGCTTTACAGTCAAATACTTCATTATTTTTAGTAAGCCTTGCTCTGCTGGAAGTCAGGAGGACAGACTCACCAAGCTAAATCTCTTTATATATGAAAATGTTATCAATATTTTTAATATTCTTCCTTCCGACATAAAAAGCCCATTTTAGGGACCAAAACCACCTATGACAGGAGAAGAACATGGGAAAATACTATTCAGAACATTTATGCTTGCAATTGGTCCTTTTTTTGTTCTCCTGCAATTCTAACATAAGGAAGTTTGAAATCATGCTCTTGATTTTCACAGTATCAGTCTTCAAATAAAGACAACAAGAATGCATTAAGAGTGCCCCGAATGAACTCAGGTGGTGCTGTGTTACAAGTTTACTTTCTAATTAATCCAGTTTAGAGTAAGAGAATGAGATTTCAGATGTCTTCCAGGGAAAATGCAGGTCTGGTATGCCACACAGCCACCTGCAGACATTATATAATCCATGAAGTATTTTTTGGAGGTAACTGGGAAACCATACTGATAGTTTCTCAGCAATAACGCAAACAAACAAACAAAACCTGGCACGGCACTAAGGCTGTATTTTTCCCACCAATGCAGATCTCCCAGAGAGATCTTGAAACAACAGCCTAAAAGAAGAAAATGAGGATGAATTTATTGTCTTATTGGTGTGGAATATCCTGTGCCAAGTAAGAAATGTGAGACAGAACTGAAGTTTTAAGAATCTGCCTCGCATGGAGCCATCACTTGATAAGAGATGGTGCAAAAGACCTAAGGTCGAGACTGATTTCTTTGGTAGAGCATTCTAAATATCTAGCTTGAAAGATAGACTCCAAGGAAAATAAACTGATACATCTGCTCATTTCAGCCTCCATCCCAAGTTAATCCATACTCAGGGTACATCTCACACAGACTGTCATTCACTATGCTTTTGTTCCACACTACAGAAATACCACAGCATAAGCTCACTGCAGATTCTCCAAAGGAATGACGTGGACAGGTACTAAAATACAAGAACTCAAGATGCTGAAACACATTCAAGGGAGAACAAACAGTATCAAGTATGAGAACATGGTGGCCCTAATCTGTCTGCCCGGGCCATTGACAAAAACAGCACAGAAGGTTGTTCCACATGGAGGATACTGCCACATCACTCTGAAATTAGGTATGAATTCCGGAAATCCTGGATGTAAAGCTACTTCCTGGCAGGAAGGTAGGCAGACAGAGAAGCTGAGTGTTTAACAGTGCAGAGGAGCCTGCTGCTCTCACCAACAGAGGCGGGGAGACTCGTGACATGCCGAACCCAAGGACAGCTGGCGGGATGCAGCAGCTGCCCAGAGGACAGGCCAGCTGCGTGCTGGTGTTTATTGGTCTTGCTGATTCTCTCAGTTGCAAAGGATATGGAAACAGTTTCTTTCTCACCCTGACTAGTAGGTTTAGCAGAGTCATGCAACTCTAAGCGCTCAAGTTGTTTTCCAGTCATGATCTTGAGTCATATCAGAAGTGGTGCAGTGAGTGCACTGCTTATTAAATCAGGCTTTCAAACATCTGGGTTTTCATAGAAAAATAACGAGAACTCATAGGGTTAGGCTATATATTCTAAATGACTAAACACAATGTAAGCTACACGACCGCTGCAGGTAATGTTTTAAAACAAAGAACCACAAACAAAAATAGGCTATTAATCCAAACAAGAAGCATCCCCATTGCAATTAATTCAGTAAAACACATGTAATTTGTCAACTGACACTTTTTGGCTCACATAAAAGGAATCCTATCATTTAAATTGAAGGTGAGGCGAAGTGTGCTTGGAAGAATGACAGTGTGATAAAGGATGTAAGTTAAAAGCATTCAGACAAGCTCACTTTAGCAAGCCTGCAAAGATTAAATACATATTTTAAGTGCAATATGCATCTGTGAAATAAAGATCAACTTACTTTGAGATTATCTCTAGGGAAGCTACAAAAATACAAACCACATACACACACATGCACATTTCTTGGCATAAGACATTGTTGTGTTTTCCATGGAATTTCAGAACTTCTATTAAGCCTAACCAAGTAATCTCACAATTTTTCTTTGAGTGCATATAGTTCCTCTATAAATTGACAGAAAAACAGCTGTCAACAAAACCTCCAAAGTATCCATTTGGCTTGTAGAGGTTCTCCAAGCCTTTACTCCAGGAAAAGCATCTCACAAGAGGTGTCTACAGGCAGAGTTTCCTGGATACACAAACGTTTTGGAGGGAAGAGAGGGGGAGGGGAAGGACTGCACAGAAAAGGTCTCATGGGACCCTCTCAGCACCTTCTCTTTTCACAGGGTGCTCCACAGCTGCTTGCAGAACATCCCCATCCAGCGAACCACATCGCTTCATTTCAGAAACCGCTGCTTCACCAAACCCTACGGCTGCACTCCAGAACTACTCATTTCAGTAACCCTGACATCAGTTTTTCCAAATACTGGTGCAGTAAGTCGG